GAGTGTAAGTGATGTGGGTGGGGGGGGGGGGGTATAAATAGGGGTTTCTAAAGGTTGATCACTTTACAAATGCATAAATAATGTTTCTAATTTTTAATAGATGAAAGTTTCTCTAATTATAATAATTAACCAATTAATTAGGTTAATTGACATGCAAAATTTAAATCAAATCATGCAATCACATTTAATCAAATGAGAAATTAAGTTACTTTCCATAATCTAGATATGACAATCCCATAATATTTTCCTTGACTAAACATGACAATTCCATTATCATTTCTTTACCAAAATTTAAAATTAAAAAAAGTTCGCATTAGGTCCTTCAACTATGAAAAGTCATCAATTTGGTCCCCTAACTTTCAACATCTTATACTGAGGTCCTACATTCAAGATTAATAACTATTAGGACTTTTCGAGTGTTATAATCTACCTATTTTAAAATAAATTTTCGTCATTGAAAATAATCTTAGAATCATTGTTAAATAGTTGGGGATGCTTAGATCGTATTTCATCCTTGCACTTCCAACTTTCCTCTTCGACCGAATGGTGTGGCCATAACACTTTGACCAATGATTCTTTGTTACGAAGATTTTGTACTTTCTGAGCTATAACTTAAAGTGAGGTTTCCTTATAGCTCAAATCTCGCTAAATTTTCAAGGGTTGATGTTTCACCATGTGTTTAAATAAGGAACGTACTTCTTGAGCACCTATAAGGAAGACGTATGCTGTAGAAAGCTCTAGTGGCAAAGCCAATTGATAAGCTACATTTTCAATCCGTTTCAGTATCTTTAAAGGTCCAATGTACCTCGATCGAAGTTTCTCTTTCTTGCTAAATTGTAAGACAAGTTTCATTGGTGTGACTTTCAAAATACTCCGACAATAGATTCCAGTTGCTTTCGCTTTCTATCAACGCAACTTTTCTGTTGATTCTTAATCCGATCATGGAGTGTCGATCTAACCGATAGTGCTGCCATTTGAGTGATAGTGTATGAAGAAATTGTGACTACTTCGAGACTTAATCTTTCGAGTTCCTTCCACAGATATTTCTGAGCTATTAACATTGTTGCTTTATCTATGGTTTTCCTACTTAAAGCGCCCGCCACTACGTTTGCCTTGCTTGGTAATATATTTTACTATCATAATCCTTTACTATTTCAAGCCATCTTCTCTGCCTCATGTTCAATAGTAAAAATCTAAATAAAAATATAATTGAGGCTCTTATGATCTATATAAATGTCACATTTACTTCAGTTCAAGTAGTGTCTACAAATTTTCAAGGCGTGTACTACCGCTACGAGTTCTAGGTTATATTTGGGGTAATTCTATTCATAAGGTTTCAACTGTATATGACGTGCTTGGATGCAGCACTGTATATTACAAAACCTTTTGATCATTTAGGTGCATTAACTAACTTCTTCAATTCTTCAAATGTTCCTCATGCTCTTCTTCAATATTCGAAGAATTCAAAATATCATTGATGGATACAACGACAAATTGATCTAGGTATTCATAGAATACGTGGTTTATCAAGTTCATGAGTACTCCGGGAGCATTAGTCAGGCCAAATGGCATAACTAAGAACTCGGGACCATATCGAGTTCTAAAGGTCGTCTTTGACATATCACTAGATTTGATCCTCAATTGGTGGTATCCTGACCTCATGTCGATCTTTGAAAATGCCCTTACGCCTCGTAATTGGTCAAACGAGTCCTTAGTCATAGGAAGTGGATAATTATTCTTAATAGTGATTCTATTTAGTTCATGATAGTCGATGCACATCCTCATTAACCCATCTTTATTTTTGAAGAATAACATTGGTTCTCCCCATGATGATACACTGGTCGAATGAATCCCTTTTTCCAACAATTCTTCTATTTATGATTTGAAATCCTATAATTCCTTGGCGCTATTATGTAAGGAGCCATAGAAATAGGTGTGCCACCGGGAATCAAATCAATTTTCAACTTCACTTCATGTTTCGTAGGCATCCCAGGCAAGTCCTCGAACAAAGAAAAGCTTCTTGTTACTTCCATACTACTTTGACATCTCCCACTGTCAGTACTTTATCTTCCTTTGCCAGCACTCACATATATCCCTCTCACTTTAAGAGTCTTTGGGCTTTCACATAAACAACTTGGAGTAAGGGTTTTGTCATTGTCACTAAAAAGCGAAGTTCTACCCTTTATACCACCTACAAACTACTTCTTTTCAAAGCATAGCACGATTCTTAGAAAGCCAATCCAAACCCAAAATTACATAGAATTCATGTATATTCAAAACATATAAGTTAGTTTCCTAAGTCCTACCATCAATTTCTACCTTAGTTGTCCTTATTGTGTGATCTTTATCTCGTGTTTCTCTAATTCCATCTTTGAGGAAAAGTCATCATGTCAAGGTCGCTATCTTTGTAAAAACTCGAGTAGATGGTTCTTTAACTTCCAACCTTAGTTTTTAAAAATCTCTCACCAACTATTCTCGTATTGAGGTCACTAACGCCAACTTTCCAACCATCTTCTTGTTTAAGGCATCGCCTACTTGTTGTCTTTACCCGGTGATAATAAATCGTATACTTATGATCCTTCACTAGCTCCAACATGTTGTCTTTCAAGTTCCCCACACATGTCCTATTCAACCTCAAGTATATCTCATGTTTTTGGATTTAATCTCTAACCGATTGTGAGCGTCTATCATTTATTTAAAAAAAAAAAAAATTATATTGACTTAACTTTCTAATTTAAACAAATATAACTAAGTTAATCACATTGTTTCATAACTAAACATGCTCCATAAATCATACTTCTCTTAAATATAGGTTCCAAAATAAAGATTTCTAAATTAGATATTTCCATAATTAGAAGTTTCTAAAATTTAGAAACTTTTTTTATTAGGGTACTTTCCTAAATGACATTTTCTAATTTAAAGGATTTTTATGCATAAGAGTTTCTGTAATTAAAAATATATAATATATTTTAAATTTTTTTTTTTTTTTTCTATGAACAGTGTTTTTCTAAAAAAAAAAAAGAACTTTTTTTAAAAAAAATTCAGTCTACAAAAATGTAGACCTGCTATGATACCATATTGTAACGACCTAAATTTTACCTTTGAAATTATTATACATATACCGTAAAAGAGTACATTCATAATCAAAAGAAAAAATAGGATAATGTTTTATTAACATACGAGGATTTAATATTAGTTTTAAGAGAAATACAATGAACATTACTAAAATTCTTAACTACATAA